GCTGCCACAGATGATTAACATTAGCAAACACAAATATAGCTCTTACTTGGTCAATTGTACAGCTACTGAACTAAAATTTATGGTAGAAACTGAGAGTAATCCATAACAAATACTCTGAGTTGCTAACACATCTCATGAAAACTCAAGATTTTGCAGGAGATTACACAAAACATCCTTTGCAACGGTTTACGAAAATATCTAAAAATGATAAATGTAAATACTAAAATATAGTGCCTTTATATCTTATCAAGATAAAGTGCTTTACACTACAATCTGTGCACTCATTTACCCATTCATACAGCACTCTACTAGATCTGTACAACGAATAATCAGTGCTTTATCACGTTCAAACACCGATGGGACACACATTGGAGACAATAAGAGGTTCAGTGTTTTGCCCAGGGACACTTCAGCATGTGACTGCTGGTGGAACTGAACCCCCAACTCTCCCAGTGGCAACCATTTTCAAATGGTTTTGTCTTCATATTCATTCAACCTTTATTTATACAGGTTGGTCTCATCGAGCCTCGGGGACTCATTTACACAACAGACCTGTTTTTAAACAAAGAATGATGACAACAGTAGACAACAGTAGACAACATAGACAACAATAGACAATCATAAAAGAAAGCATGTAAATTGAGAAGAATAAATGAAAGAAAACGGTATTAAAAAATGAAATAAAAAACAAATAGATTGTAAAGCGATGTAGAATACAGAATATTACAAACAGGAACATTTCTGCATTTGTGCGACGGAGCTTTAAGGCCACGCTAAGAAAAGAAACAATAAAAGTAAAAAAATTATGAGAATAAAGTCGAATGAAGTCTTAATATTACGAGAATAAAGTTGTACAAGATTTTTTCTTTTTGTTGCAGCTCTCATTTATTTATTTATTTATTCCACGAGTCAGATCCACAACGCAACCTGTCAATCAATCCAGTAGGCGTGTCAGCAAATGACCAATCCAAAGCTAAATGAGTCGTAATATTATCCAAACTCCGACACGATAAAACAGAATTACTGCATTTTAACTGTGGTAAAATGAAGAATGTTGAGCATCTTATTAAGTTATGGTTTTGGTATTAGTTTTACAAATAAGAAGCTAGTTAATCTGTGAGCAAATCAGCATCAGATTATTATCAGTATCAGGACTTTGAACCTGCTTACAGTAAGGTGGTAGCTCTGATGGGCTGCAGCAGCTCTCTGCAGGTAACGAGCATTTACCTTCAGATTGGTCATTTGCTGACACGCCTACTGGATTGGGTGACAGGTTGTGTCATCTGACTTGTGGAAAAAAAAAAAAAACAAGAGCTGTAAATTTAAAAAAAGACTTTATTCGACTTTATTCTCGTAATTTTATGACTTTTAATGTGTTTTTTTCCCTTAGCGTGGCCCTAAAGCTCTGTCGTAGGTTTGAGAGCATTTGAGAACATAAAGTGTGAGATGGAGATGGTCCGAGGTCCTCTTCCTGTCCTCTGGCCTTATTTTGCCCCAGGATGTATAGGGAACATTCATAAAACAAAGCCCTTCAGTTAACAAGATCCTCTGTAACTTGTAGCATGCAATGCACTCAGAAAAACACAGAAGTCTTGGTGATATGGAGATAAAATGTTGTTTTTGCTGTGTTTTTATCAGAAATGGAGGCACCAGGTTCTGCTCAAACAGACGATGAGCTAAATGCACTAAACAGGATTCACCCTCCGAGGACTCCAGCAGCTGGTGAACAGAATCTGTATGCATGAGTGGCTCTGAGGTGAGACAGACTGCAGCAGGCACTGCAGAGGCTTATGGGAGAGCGGAGAGGTGGTGGTGGTGGTGTGGGGGGGGTCCACCCAGCAAGACAGCAAACTGATGCAACACAGTACAAGAACTGTATGTGTCTTATTGTTACAGCCATAAAGAGTAATGTCAGGAAAAGTGCGTTTTAAAAACTCTAGCAGGTGAAAGATTTTGGATTAAACAGCAGGATTTAATGACATGTACGGTTACACTTCCCACGCACAACGTAATTAGATGATTTAATGTTCCTGCTCGCTTTAAACACTGGGCTTTAACTCTGATGAACCTCTCAGCTGCAAAATGAATCTTTAAAAAAAAAACTGAGAATATTTGAAGTTTCCAGATTTTGGTCCATAAATGGACCACACTTTGTTTCCTCCCACACAGGACAAACCATACAAAGAAGTAAAACATTTGATTAGCTTTAAGATGAACATAAATGATTATTTTACACAACTTTTACCAGCTGGGTGTAGCAGGTTCCTCAACCTCTGTTCTCGTCTTGTATCCAGTGGTTAACGATTCATTTGAGTTCTACAAATCTAATTTTCACCAGCTTCACAGGACTTTTTAAATAAATTATTTGTTGCCTTCCATGTGTCAGCCAGCTGGATCAAAAAGCAGAATCATGCATTCATGTTTCCAAACCTAAAAACAGGCACCCTGGGGCACCTGGCTCCAAAATGATGGAGTGTTTTCTTGCTTTTCAGCTCTGGGGAAAGTCTCCACGCCAGCTCCGGCAGAAACATGAAAAATCTCTGAGAGGAGTTTGTGGGCAGTCGTCTGCTCATATACAGGAAAACCTGCAAGGTGAAAACAGGGTTCTGGTGTTTGAATTAGACCTCAGCAGCTATCCCTGCTATGTGCTGACTGTTAGAAGTTCATGTTCATATTATTGAAGCTTTATTCCAACAAAAAAAACTACAAATTCTACTCAATTACTCAATTTTTCATTTAATTTTATTTACACAGGTTAACCCCATTGAGCCTCGGGGACTCATTTACAAGAGAGACCTGGTTTCTTTAACAAAGAGTGATGACAACAGTGGATAATAATGACAACAACAAACAGTCATAAAAGAGGCATACACATTTATAATTTGTTTTTACAAATTTAAATAAAATGGACACCAAAATACAGTAGTCCCTTGTTTATAATGGGGCATCTGTACCCGAAAGCCCTGCAATAAGTGAAAACCTGTGAAGTAGGAATATTAGTACAAGTAGTAAGAAGTAGTTTATTTTATTATTTGTATATATAGATATTAAGACGTTTTAAACCCTTCTCACACTCTTGCAATATCCTAAACAATGTTTCTAAATGCTCTAAAAGA